CAAGCTGAGCCCAGAAGGGCATTGGGGAGAAGTGGGCAGGGGTCATGTGGCTGCTTCTCATGTGGGAGGAGCTTTGCAGGCTTATAACCCACTCACTCAGTTACCTATTTATGGACAGCCAGTACTTCGCTCTCTCAGGAAGACAGGAGAGGAAGGAACGCAGATTGAATTGATAGCAGAGCCCAGATGGGATTGAGCTGCCATCCCACCCTGCTGGCCTGGGCCTGGAGGGGCCTGTCTCCAGCTGCTGGTGGGGGGCAGAGAAATTGGTGGCCATTTTCTATGTGAGACTGGTGGCCACTTTTGGCAGTGACCTTGCATCTTAAGGGAAAAGGAAGAATCCAAAATGGGAAAGGGGGATGGCTGGCTGGATATTGAAATTAGAAAAAACTACATGAAGTTCAGCCCTTTATTCAGCAGAGGAAACTGGCACAGAATGTTTGCATGAGCTGGCTTTCATCATAGTAAGCCGAGCAACACCTGAACCAGGCCCACAGCGTAGGCTCCTGACTTGAGGAGGGGCTGCTTGTCTGCAGCCTGATTTCTTTTGGATGCTTAGTCTAAGGCTGGTGCTGCTGCATGGTCAAACCAAGGGATCACTGTGACTGGATATTTGGCTGGGTGTCTACAGTGATATATATGGTGACAATCTGTCCCTGTTTCCAAGGACAGCCCAAGTTTATGCTTATGTCTGGTGGAATTATTAACATTTCACACGCGGAAGTATCCTAGTTGGGATGAATTATACGGTCACCCCATCAATGGCATGAGAGGAGAAAAAGGACTTGGATCTCTAGCATCATTGACGTGTAGGACTGAAAGGGCCTCTGTTCACCACAAAATTCCTGGAGAATGTTTCACAGGCTTCAGCTAAAGCTATGCTATGGGGCCAATCCCAGTGCCCAGGAGGAGGCTCCCCACCACCATTCCACTGCTCCTAGGGCAGAGGAGGTGAGCCACATGGGTGCCAGCAGCTCCCCCACCCCGTGGAAATGAGAAGACACTTAAACAAGCCTCAAAAACAGACTTCCAGGTCACCTACAGCAACACCAAAGGGAAATGAGATGGAACACTCTGATACTCAACCACCTGGACTCCCTAACTGGCAACAAAAGAGGATCTGGAAAAATGAAATCAGAAATAATTTCTCAGATAACAGCAAAGATTGTGCCCAAAGTGCAAGACATGACTAATAAATCTAGAGAGGACACAGATTAAAAAAAAATAGAGGATCTGAGGAACATGATGGAATCCCAACATAGGAAACAAATGGAATCCATAAAACAGATGCAAACA